GAACCTGGGCTGGCGGAATCAGAATCCGCAGTCATAACCATTAGACCATTAGACCGAACCAGTTGTTGATGACATTCTGGCATCTAGGGATACAATATGTATCAAATAATCTTTTCACCCAAATCCCGTAGCTCATGAGGTCCTGCTTAAGTTTTACGAAAACTAAAACTGGGGTTTTCTCGTAGCTTTTAAAGTGTTGGACCATAATTGTCAAAATTTACCGCAACCTGACCGTGCTGTGCTCTCCTTGCGCAGGACGTCATAATTTGGCTCTGCGCGCAGGCTCGAGCTCCCACGACCCCTCCATAACTTCCAGCTCTAGAGCTCCACCGATCGCTCCAGCATCAACGGCAACTGGGAGCGCCGACTCAGGACGTGCCTCTCTTCGTACAGCAACACCGCCCTAACGAAGTACAAAGTTAGAGGCAGACTCTTTCTCATTTGCGCAAGGTCAAAAGAGCTGGCGATCCTGCGCCGTGGCTTGAAAGATGGTAAAGCCTGGCCGCCCTGAATTTCCCTACCACAGCCTTACTGACCATGGCACCTCCAGTCGAAACAATACCTGACGATGCACACGGTGGACAACGGTATGCGCAACCTGCCTCTTGACTTTTCGGATTGATTTGCTAATCGATCTCCTCTAGCCCACATCGCAGACATCTTCGGACTAGCAGCGACACCGAAAGCCCTGCTGTCTGCGAGCGGTTCCTCCACCATCAACGTCCATGACACGGTCGACCAGTCATTCCCCATCATACAGTCCATTAGTGGTGCGCATAAGCTTGGATGCCATCACATCTGCACCTCGCGCGACGGCAAGGTAGCGGCGAGTGCGGGCTTTGGTGGCGAGGTCAAGGTCTGGCTCGTCACGCCCGAGACGGGCGAATGGAACCTCAAGACGGAGATCGCGCAGGCAAGCAAGGCAGGCGAGGTTTGGGCCGTTGCCCTGAGCGAGAACGGAAGATTCCTTGCTGGCACGACGTATGACGGCCGCATCAACGTCTGGGATGTCTCCGGCGAGGAGACGAAGAGGGTCCAGGAGTACGAGACGGGAAGCGCGGGGTCAGGTAGCTTCGGCATGTGCGTTGACCTGAGCCGGGATGGAAAGTTCACAGCGAGCGGACACGAGAGTGGAGCTGTCTATGTCTTCAACAACGAGACTGGGCGGCTGCAACACTCCCTATCAGGTACGTCCGAGGTTGGGTGAGTGGTTTGAAGGAACACTGACATTTCCAGGCCTGGCGAAGCCGGTCAGATCAGTCGCCTTCTCACCTGGCAACTCCCGACTCGCAGCAGCTGGCGACGCTTCGGTTATTGCTCTTTACGACATGAACCACGGCGAGCATGTGGGCAATTTGACAGGTCACTCATCATGGATCACCTCGACGGATTGGAGCGACACGGGCGAGTACCTGCTGAGCGGAGCTATGGACGGCAAGGTAAAGGTCTGGTCCGTCGATCGCGGAGCCTGCGTTGCGACACATAGCGAGACGGACAAGGCACTTTGGTCGGTCAAGTGGCTGCCCAAGACACAAAAGAGCGAGATGTTTTGCACAGCGGGAGCGAACAGGAGTATCTCGTTCTACCGCGAGGCTACTGGTACGTAAGCCGAAGTAGGCATTCCGGCCCGAGAGAAGGCTACAAAAAAGTGGGAGCGACCACCAATGCATCATGAATCATAAGAAGCACTGCGAACACGTATTGAATAATTGCAGTGCGCTTGACTGATGGGGATCTTGCTCGATGCTCGAGACAGAGAAGCTCACGTGATCTCGCTCCCTCGACGCGTTGCCCCGCCAATTCTGGCCAATCGCCCACAGCCAGATTCGCATTTCGTCATTGGTCTTTGACATTCATTCCAGCCCTTGCGACTGCCTACCCTCCCGCTGAAACCGTCCTGACATCTTCGGTAACAAACATCGGTTTGCACAACCAAAACAACTGTTGATCGTCGCAAACACCATCAATCCTGAGGCGATCTCTTTTATTGAAGTCTCACGAGATCATTACTGCGAGCCAGAAGTATCAATATCATTACCCCGCCAAAATGCCGACAAATCGCAGATCAACTGGCGGCGCTCGCGCCCGCCCTGGGCCCAACAAAGGTCAATCGACCATCAGCTTTTCCAACAAGGTTTCCAAGCCTGTACCTCGGCAGGAACTGAAGAAAGCCGCTGTCACCAAGGGCGACCGCATTGTTCCACATGCCAAAAAGGAAGAGGAGGTTCCTGAGGCCGTCGAGATCGAGGTCGAACCTGAGGTAGAGCAGCCGGAGCCAAAGGTCGAGGTGCCACAGAAGACCGAGGTCCAGATCCGCGCCGAGAAGACGACCGATGCGCAGATCAACAAGTACTGGCGGAACATTGAGGCGGAGCGCATTGCCAAGAGGGTGCATGTGGAAGACTTGAGCACGGGGGAGAAGGTGCTGCGGTATTTCGACGTCAGCTCGCAGTACGGGGTACGTGTGCTTTCTATGCCGACTCGCTTTTCACTCCGCGGACATATGACTAACGTGACGTAGCCCTGTGTCGGAATCCAACGGATGAGGCGCTGGGAGAGGGCCAACAAGCTCGGCCTCAACCCTCCCATCGAGGTTCTTGCCGTGCTGCTCAAGGAGCAGAAGGAGGGCAGCCAATCTGAGCGCGCACATATGGATGCGATTCTCAACTCCACAGCAGTCGGGTCAACATGAGAATCTTGACCTCAGCATGATCTTTGCTCTTGTTTTGTACGGTATCCCTCGCGGGTTGGAACCCTTGACGGCTCGTCCATTGTTTCGCACGATACGACGGGCCAAACCTTTTCCACGAGGGTTGTGGGTGATGCACGAGGCGTTTTGGGATTTGAAAGGGGCGTTCGAGGGCGATGGAACCTATCTGGCTTCCTCTTCTAGTTTTGCACGACAGAGCACACTTCTTTTTCGTAGCCAATGAGTCATTGGACTCTGATGAAATATCATGAATTCTGCAACCACAAGTGCTTTCTGAAAAGCTTCTGATGCTCTACGCAACGAGTCTAATAGCACGCCCAGACCGTACAGATTGCCTCAGTACCAGATGCTCCTTGTTCTATGATGCAGGACCGTCTCCGTACCCGCAGCTTCCATCTCCTTCATGGTATCATACAAAAAGAAATCTATCAGAATGGCATTCACTTCCGTCTCTGGGAACTTTCTCAAGATTTCTCTCTTAAGCAGTTCCACACACCAGATACTGCAGGCTGCCGAATCGTTAGCATTACATGTTGATATTGTGCAGGCAAACGGAACTCGCCTCTGATCTGCAGCTCCCATCTCGACCCAGTCTCAATGAAGGACTTTTTGTTGATTGCTGTCGCCAGCGATGGGCTGTAGTACAAGCATCCCATTGAGTTCAGAATTTGCGGCACACGGTAGTCGGCGAACATGGTTAGCTTGTCAATATCCCTGAATGCTCCAAAGCCTTCGCCCTCGAAGCATGCCCACACATCTGCCACGAGAATTTGGGCCCTCTTCATGAGTCGCACAGGTTTTTTCCGGCCATCGTAGCGGTGCTCATCGCGGAAGCAGGCAAACTCACGCCCGAGAGTGTTGACGAGGCCAGCGGCGGACCCGTTGGCAGACTCAACGAGAGTGGCGACACTGCAGTCGTAGTTCTCATAGAGGACCTGGCCAGCTTCACGCAGACAGACGAGGCGCTCGGAGAGAAGAGGCATCTCCTCATCTGTGGCAGAGCGGAAGACTCGGCGCAGGGCGTCGAGGGTGCACTCGTCCTCGTTTTGCCAGTAATCAGACGTGGTGATGGGGATGCCCTCTTCTAGGGCGCGCTGGAGGGCGGCGACGAGACTCCAGTAGCCTGTCCATTTCCGTCCGCGGTACTCTATGGCGAACCGTTCGTCTTCGGGCAGCTCGGACCAGAAGGAGAAGTTGAGGAGGTCCATTGTGAAGATGAAGGCGAGTGTTGACTCATCCTTAGCCTTGGGGTGCAGCTCATGTTGGCTCCACGTTGCAGGAGAGTAAGACTTGTGTTGCATCTGGGCATGAATGGTCTCTGCGGCGGCCTTGGTGGCGCGCATGTCAATCGCGACGTCAATGGAGTCATCGTAGACCGCCTCAGCGTCGGCGAGGATCCCTGTTTCAGGATCTGGGTTGACGGTAAGCTTGCTCTGAAAATGTTGCCGCAGGAAATCCAGGAGCTCAGGGTCTGCTTCGTCGTCTGACATGGTTGATGTGGTGCCGTCGAGTCTTTGCTGTGTTGGCGATGCGATCCAGAGTATAGAAGGGCAAGTGGCTGATCCTGAAAACGAAACCCGCGATTCGGAAAGTTTTTGATAGAGGCGTTTTTTTAGGCGGACGAGGGACCACTCAGGGGTTGAAAGACACTGATCACCTTTGGGAAGGAGAGTGTCCAGGGGTGCATTGGCATAGAGTCACAGCATACAGCCTGCTTACAAGGAGACAAAAGAAACCACAAGAGAATGGACAGTTTGAATTCGAGTTACTCGACTGGAATCTGAACCCTCAAGCCCTTTTCGTGAAGCTGTTGCACGATGTTTCCCGTCGGCACATGACCAGTGAAGCCTGCTGCAGCCAGGGCGGTCTCCCTGGGTAGGTACCTACCTACGGAGTGAAGGAAGGAGGTACCTAATGCCAGGGCCCTTCCCCAAGGCCTGTCAGGGACGAACGACCAGTAGGAAGACCCCCACAGCCGGCAGCCAATGATATCATGATCGCAGCGATTGGCCCATCCGCCCACATCAGGCTAACAGCTCCAATCCCTGCACCGCGGTGGAATCCCGTCACCAAAACCTTGGAAGTCCGGTATTGGCTAGAACTTCGCCCTTTCAACTAGGCCGATCGCTCCTGCCCGCGGGCCGACAGAGAAGCTACCATCGGACCAACCTGAACCTCACCTGCTGCCTTGAAACCAGGCTACCAGCGGATCAGCGCAGGCAAGTCTATTCCTTTTCAACCCTGCAGCATCACCAAACAACTCGCATCAACCACCCGACCTTCTCTTCATCTTCATTGGATCAACTGTCCGTTCGATTGACGCGCCAGCATCTGAATGCGACTCACTACGTAGCCATCCGTGCCTCTAGTCCCGATCCTACCTTCTGCGCGTCACACAGACACAAACGACCATGAATTCCTCAACTACGCCTGTCTCGCCACCGGCTGTCGAGGAGAAGCCAGCGACGACAGACACAACACCGACACAGCCTCCTGCGCCGACTCCCAAAACCGAGCCCGTCCCTTCACCAGCCGTCACGGATCCTCCGACGGCGGCGACACCGGTAGACGATGTGACACCCGCGCCTGTCCCGGCACCGCTGCCTGCATCCGTGCCTGCTCCTGCGCCTGCTGCCGCCCCCGCTCCCGCGCTTGCTACCTCTCAAAGGCCTACGCCTGTACCAGCACAAACCGTACTTCAGCAGCGAGCCGTACCTGAACCCCGTGATAAGGACTACCAACAATCATTGGGCCCAGCCCTCTTTCACACCATTAGACAGGTAAGATGCGAAACACGGGCGTGACGCCCACCGTCTCTCTGCCTCCCGTTTGCGACGGCATCACAATCTCCCACTCTATCGTCAGGAACGCACTCGACAAGATGCTCTTTCCAGCTTCTTGCAACCAACGCTTGGTGCTAATTCCAACTTCACAGGCTCGTGTGCTGATGGTAGGAGCTGGTGGTATTGGCTGCGAACTTCTGAAGAACCTCGTCCTCAACGGCTTCGGCGAAATACACGTAGTTGATCTCGACACAATCGACTTGAGCAACCTCAACCGACAATTCCTCTTCCGACATGAGCATATCAAAAAGTCAAAGGCCATGGTAGCCGCCGAGGTGGCGCAAAAGTTCAACCCTAGGGTGAAGATCGTGCCTCATCACGCCAATATCAAAGATGCCGAATTCAACCTGAGATGGTTCCGCGGATTCACCTTGGTTCTCAATGCGCTCGACAACTTTGAAGCTCGGCGGCATGTGAACCGCATGTGCTTGGCCGCCAACGTGCCCTTGATCGAGAGTGGAACAACAGGCTTCAAGGGTCAGGTCCAGGTCATCAAGAAAGGCGTTACAGCATGCTACGACTGCACAGCAAAGCCTATCGCGAAGTCCTTCCCCGTCTGCACGATTCGGAGCACTCCCAGTCAGCCCATTCATTGCATCGTCTGGGGCAAGAGCTACCTTTTGAGCGAGATCTTTGGCCAGAGCGAGGACGAGTCTACCTACGACCATTCGGCCGACGCTGATAACAAGGAGGAGATCGAGGAGCTCAAGAAGGAGGCTGAAGCCCTGAGGTTGATTCGTGAATCTCTGGGCACAGAAGCCTTCCCTGAACTGCTTTTCAACAAGGTCTTCAATGCGGACATTGTGAGGCTGTTGTCCATGGAGGACATGTGGAAATCCCGCAGGAAGCCTGAGCCGCTTGATTACGCGACGTTGATGGGAAAGGCTGCGGAAGCTCTGGCCTCGAAGGCAGAGATTCTGCGCGACGACCAGCGGGTTTGGTCACTTGAGGAGAATCTTGCCGTGTTCAATGACAGCCTCGATCGTCTGAGCAAGCGTCTGCTCGAGCTCAAGGCCGCTCACCAGAACGCATCCGGACCAGAGCCTGTCATCACGTTTGACAAGGACGATGAGGACACTCTGGACTTTGTGGCGGCGGCGGCAAACATCCGATCGAGCATCTTCGGCATTGGTGGCAAGTCACGATTCGACATCAAGGAGATGGCTGGCAACATTATCCCTGCCATTGCGACAACGAACGCCATCGTCGCTGGCCTTTGCGTTTTGCAGTCGTTCAAGGTGCTGAAGGGCGACTATAACCACACAAAGGAAGTAAGTGACCATCATGAATGCCCAGCAAGGAGCCCAAGCTTATCTAGAAATAGCTCTTCCTGGCACCGAGCAATGACCGCCGCCTCATTGAGGGAACCTCGTTCCAACCACCAAATTCATTGTGCCCAGTGTGCAGCGTCTTCCAAGTCAGCGCTTTCGTTGACTTTACGAAGGCCACGCTGAAGGACCTGGTTGAAGACTTCGTCAAGGTGGAGCTGGGTTATGGTGACAAGGAATTTGCTGTGAGCAACGATATAGGGCCTCTATACGATCCTGAGGAGACAGAGAATCTCCCTAAGAAGCTCAGCGATCTGGGTGTCAAGGCCGATTCCTTCTTGACCGTTACTGATGAGGATGACGATGACACATTCGTCAACGTAGTCATTAACCTTGAGGAGACGTATGGCCACACCAACCACCTTCTGACTTCGTTGCTAACATTGAGTAGCACCAACTCGACACAAGACAAGCCTGTCAAGGGTCTTACTATTGATCAAGACCCGAAGATTCCTCGGAAACCCAAGACGGCAGCACCTGCTCCCGAGATTAGCGTCGTCAATGGGTCGAGCAACACCAATGGCAAACGGTCGCTAGAAGACAATTCGGAAGTGTCCAGCAGTAAACGCGCCCGATCAGATGACGGAGGTGATGTCCCAGGGGCAAAGAAGGCCAAGACATCCGCGGCAACTGATGATATCATCCTCATTCAAGATGATCCGACCGAAGACGCGACGATCCTTCTGGATGACGATTGAAACTAATCCACTTGATGAAAGAGCGAATTTCGGGAGTCCAATCAAACAGCACTTAGCCCTCCGTCCAGGTTAAGTATGCAGTTGTTGGCATATGGATTTTGGGCGAGAAAGGCGGCAGCATCAGCCACTTCTTCCGAAGTACCTAGGCGGCCGAGTGGGATCCGCTTCTCAAGTGGCTCTTTTGACATGTCTGGGGCGGTACATTGTACATCAGCACTAATCGTCGGTCTCACGTCGGTCTGCGGTAGTCACGGGCAGGGGTTCGGGGCGGCAGGGGGCGGACTCGGAGGGCCCGGGATCTTGGCTTACTGGCAATCATTTCGGTTTGGATGTAGCCGGGGACAATGGCGTTGGTTCGGATCTTGAAGGGGGCGAGTTCAGCAGCAAGGGCGTGGGTGAGTCCTTCAGAAAAAGGGGCGTCAGCGAAAGGATGTAGCTGCGTTGTGAGATAGACGGATGAGCGTATGAATTCAATCTTCAGCGTAACATACCCAAGAGACCGGCCTTGGATGCCGCGTAAACGCTTGTACCGGATGTGCCCTTATGGGCAAGAAGGCTGGCCACGTTGATGATACATGCTAGAATTTGTCTTAGCGAATGGTTCATCACGGCCGTTACTGCTCGAAATGTATTACCGTCTCGATCGGCCCTGCGGCGCTTCATCCGTCGCGCCATGTACCTCGACGTCAAGACGGCACCTAGCAGATTTGCGTCCATCAGCGCCTGCGCCTCCTCCATGGGCGTGTTCTGCAGAAGCTGCCACTGCGCCACGCCTGCCGCATTGACGAGCACGTCGATCTGGCCGGTCCTCGCCCAAACCGCATCCAGCACAGCGTGCTGCCGCTCGAGGCTGCCCTCGCCCCGCGAGAGGTCGAGGATGCTGTACTCGTGCCGTGGCGGATCGGCCGGCTGCGCCGACTGTTTCGCCGCCAAGACGGGCGAGAGGCGGGCCTGCGAAAAGGGCGATAGCGAGGCGAGGGTCTTGCGGAGGGCGGACTCGTTGCGGCCTGTCAGGGTTACGAGGGCGCCTTCTGCGGCGAAGCGGTGGGCTATCGCTGCGCCGATGGAGCCGGAGGCCCCCGTTATCAGGGCGTGGCGTCCAAGGAGGGGGAGGAGGGCCATGTTGATCTGAGAGGGAGCAAGCTTGTGATTGTTTTTTTTTAAAAAAAAGATTAAAATAAAATAAAAGATGAACGGTGAAGTTCGACCTGGGTTTGGTGGATGCCCGGTGATCTTCTGAAGGGAATTGAAAACTCAACCAGATATCCAGTAAACTAGACACGTATTGATCACGGTATCAAGTCATGGGCGTGCAGTGAGCGTTCTGCGATGCAAAGAATCTAAAGGGCACAGAAAGGAGCTGAATGAAGATATCTCGAAGCCAAGCAACGTGCAACGCGACGAGCGTCATCGTCCACATGCGGTTGGGCCATTCTGGACCCCTGCAACGTCAGTCTTTCTGGCTGGCCAATTGGAGTGCAGGAAAGTGCAAGGAGATTCAGGGGCAGGCATTGGGTGTGGCGCAACGCCTCGCCGCTTTAGCTCTACGTCTGGACCAGAGATAAACGAAGGTGTGAGTTCAGCCATGGTGGAGGGCTCAAAATTCCAAGGGTTGGTTTGATATCATCCAGTGTCTAGCCAGTGAACGAAGCTGCATGGCAGGCACTAGGATTCAGAGGCTGTTCATATGCAAGCAAATGAATGTGGCCTTCCAGGTGACATCGCAGAAGAGCCCGCTGCTTGCCAGACCGAGACTTTCCCTCCTTGGGAACGGAGCCAGGCCCTTCCACCCATCCCCGCGATCATCGCCTGCTCGCCTCCGCCCCGGCCTCCCGCCAACCCGGTACCCCAGAAGATGCCGCATACAAGCTCAGTATCGTTTGTGCCGGCGCACAGCTTTGGCACGATCGAACGATGATCCCCTTCAAGGGCGTTCGTCCGGAGAGGCCAGTTGAGCCAAAATGAAGGACCATAAATAGAGACCTGCCTGCTCCCCTCTGCCAAAGTTGCTTGGCCACCGAGCGCAGCCAAGCTGAGGGTGCTTGATCTTTGAGTCAGTATGCGTCCCTTCTTTGGTCTTCTCGCTGCGGCCGCCGGTCTGGCCTCGGCTGCCGAGCTCCAGCACATCACCGACTTTGGTCCCAACCCTACCAACGTCTCCTTCTACCTCTACGTCCCCGACGCCGTCCGCCCCAACGCGCCGCTGCTCGTCTACCCGCACTGGTGCTGGGGTTCGGCCCAGAACGCCTTTGACTGGAAGCCCTACCGACCGCTCGCCGACGAGCTTGGCTTCATCGTCATCTACCCCTCGTCGCCCAACGACGCAGACCACTGCTGGGATGTGTCCTCGCCACAGACGCTCTCGCACGACGCCGGCGGCGACTCGCTCGGCATCGTGAGCATGGTGCGGTGGACGCTCGCCCACCACGACGTCGACGCCGACCGCGTCTTTGTCACGGGCATCAGCTCGGGCGGCATGATGACCAACGTCCTCATCGGCGCGTACCCGGACGTCTTCGCCGCGGGCTCCGCCTTTGCCGGCGTGCCGTTTGGGTGCTACGCCGCCGACGGCTTCGCCGTCTGGTCCGACGACTGCGCCAAGGGCAAGATCCAGCACACGGGCGACGAGTGGGCGGCGCTCGTCCACGCCGCGTACCCGGCGTACGACGGCGTGCGGCCCAAGATGCAGGTGCTGCACGGCGCGGCCGACGACATCATCAACGCCACCAACTACCACGAGGCCGTCAAGCTCTGGACGACGGTGCTGCGGACGGGCAGCGAGCCGCGCGAGGTCGACGAGGACACGCCGCAGGCGGGGTGGACGAAGAGCGTCTACGGTCGGAGGGGGTTCTTCGAGGCCTTGCTCGCCGACGGGGTTGATCACAATATTCCCGATCAGGCGCAGGAGGTTGTCAGGTTCTTTGAGCTCGACTGTGTTGGCGACGACTGCTTTTCGCGAAAGGACCTCGTCGTGCCGGGCAACTGTGTGAAGAAGCAGAATAAGCTGTAGATGTCACATGGATGATCAGGTCGGTAAAGATGCTGGCAAAAACACAACATACATCTTCCTCAGTTTCCCATTTGCGATAATTATGATGATATGTAATTCGGTGGCCTGCTCGAACGAGGTTGGAGAGGGTGGATCGATCGAACACTGCTTCGAACAGAGGCAAGTGCATACTTCGTGGTAAGAAGCGTCGGGCAGCATTGGGGCATGACGATGTCTTCCAAGGTCGAGATTCTTCTTTGAATTGGTAATTGTAGCAGTACAATGCCACGCCAATTGGGCCTGTACTGAAGGAAGGTGAAGCTGCCGCAAGCAGGCCATCAATGGATATGGAGGCAAAATAAATGGTTCTGGGTACGCTCTAAAAGCAGCGGAAGCAGGCGGGCAGCCAGGGTCTCGAGATGGCGCCGCACACTAAACTTAGTGCGTGGGCGCTGCTCTTCAGCGCCTGTGCCTGTTCGTCAGTTCTTGGCCCTCCAGCCCAGCCCAGTACCTGCCAGGAACCGAGACGCAAACTCCACCATCCAAGCGCCCACCCGCCTGCTCGTCTGCTTCCTCGGCCAAAACCTACAGCTGGCACACAACCTCACGCACCACGCCCAGTCGCAATCAAGGTCACGACCGACCTCCTTTGGCGCAGACCCTCATCTTCCGAAGTGCAACGACCACCGATCGAGCGGATGCCCACATCTCTCAGCCCATGTGTTCCACACCCAACGGCGCGGCTGAGCGTCGCGAAGACGATGCCCCGCCCTCCACCACCAAACCCGTCGTTATCGACGCTGGCTTGAGGAGTCAAGACCACTGTATGTCCCACGCTCGTCGATGAGTTGTAGTTCTGGCCAGTCCGTCGCTCCATGATTGCAAGAACTGCGACGGTCCCCATGCACAGGGCTCGATCAACCCTCCTGAAGCATATTCTGCCCTTCCCCCCCCCCCTGGCGGCCCGCCAGTGTCGCGTGCCACAAGCCTCTGCCACAGCACCGCTGACCGCCCACGAACCCAACAGACAAAAAGGCTATGCCCCCATGGCGATACAACCTCCGACAGCGTATGCTTCCTCTGGTACGATGGGAAACGCCCTACCTCGCATGGTTTCAGGAGAGGGCCCGCACGCCTGCTCTCGACAGCTACTTCGCCATCACGGCCAACCTCGGCACCCACACCTTTTTCATGATCGGCCTGCCAATGCTGTTCTGGTATGGCTATGCCTCGTTCGGCAAGGGGTGAGTTCTGAAGCGCAACGGTCATACTATCTCTTCGCTGACATGCTGCAGTCTCGTCCATATCCTCGCTGAGGGCGTCTTCTTCACCGGTTTCATCAAGGACTTGTGCTCTCTGCCACGACCCCTCTCGCCGCCCCTCCACCGAATCACCATGTCCGGCTCAGCAGCGCTCGAGTACGGCTTTCCCTCCACGCATAGCACGAACGCCGTGTCGGTGGCTCTCTACGCCATTCTCGTTCTGCGCAGTCCGGAAACGGAGTATTCCGCGACCACCAAGCTCGTGCTCGAGGGTCTCTCCTACTTCTACGCCATCTCCATCGTTGTCGGCCGCCTGTACTGTGGCATGCACGGGTTCCTCGACGTCGTGGTCGGTTCTGTCATTGGCGCCCTGATTGCCCTGGCCGAGTTCTACTACGGCCCGCCTCTCGACGCCTACATGCACTCCAGTTCGTGGGTCGCTGTCCTCATCGCTGCCCTCGTCGTCATTGTCCTCGTGCGCATTCACCCGGAGCCAGTGGATGACTGCCCCTGCTTCGATGACAGCGTCGCTTTTGCAGGTGTCATGATTGGTCTCGAATATGCTACGTGGAACTACGGCCGGACCCCTTACGACCCTTTCGACACCAATGCCCACAACTTCCAGTCCATCAACTTGGGGCCTCTCGGCGTACCGGTGCTTGTCGCTCGTCTCTTCTTTGGCGTCTTCGTCATTTTCGCCTGGCGCGAGATGATGAAGCCCACCCTGCTACGCGCTCTGCCGCATCTCTTCCGCCTGATCGAGCGTGCTGGTTACTCTCTGCCCCGTCGCTTCTTCACCCCAGCCTCCGAGTACAAGTCTATCCCTGCAGGTTCGCGGATGGACAACCTCATCCCTTCTGTGCGCGAAATCGTCCGTGTCGGTGAGTCCATTCGCCATCCGGCTACGCGCGGACGATCTGTCTCCATCGGACCACAGAGCGCTGCCGACGCTTACGAGGCTCTAGCCTACCGCGAGCGTAGGCGTAGGGAGAGCATTGGAAGCAATGGCAGCACCAAGGGCAAAGAGGCACTGGCTGGTGTCCAGGAGAACAGTGACGACCGTGATGGCCGCGGCGCGGCATCCGGTGTCCATGGCGGGATTGGCGAATATGAGAAGCAGATGGGCTCTTTCGTCTCCAGCCCGATTGAAGAGTCGAGGGCCACGGACTTCCCCTCTCCCGAACAGGATGAAGCTGAGGAGAAGGAGATGTTCTCCCGCCTAACGAGGCCGAGAGTGCGGTATGACGTCGAGGTTGTGACAAAGCTCGTCGTGTATGCTGGTAAGTGCAGTGTTCCATCCTTAAAGATTGGTGTTTGTCGTGCCAGGCGCTGACGGCTGGCACAATAGGGATTGCCTGGCTCGGCGTGGGCATGATCCCCATCATGTTCGAGTTTGTCGGCTTGGGATCCAGTCACCTCCGCATCGCAGCATGATGACCATGTTTCCTTTGCCAAAAGAAAGCCGCCCGCTATGCTCAACAGCGTTGTCTGCTGGTGGTTGGCGCGCCATGTCGATAGAGATGATGATTTTTTTTGGGTTTCAGGGGGGTTTTGACATATCTCCTTGGGTGCATGGTACTAGTGGTTCTTTTCTTCCTTCTTCTGGCATGGTGTTTTGGGGTGACCTTTTCTCTTCCATCTTTGCCTTTTCCACATTTTGCTCACCGAGATACACTGCTCCATCATGAAAATTGGAGGTGGTTCACGTAGAGAGATGCAAAGCAGCAGGTTCCGGGGTTTGCTTTCCAAAGAGCAAGAAGTTGAGGTGACGAGGCCCTTGCTGAATGTTTCTTCGCGATACGCCTGTGAAGGTGGCGTGCCACAATGAGAGTGTATTCTGCATGGTGATGACTTCGTGCCTGGGAACGAGGCGCTCATTGGGTTGAGAGCTTGGGCACCTCGCAGTAAGTATGCTGTGGCACTTCCGGAGAATGAGGATCCAAAGCGGCCTCTTGAAAACAGTGTTCACCGCCCGAAGGCATTCTCCATCCTCGGCGCCTATGGTGGCCATGTCGTTGCTCTCGCACCTCGATCCCTTTTGAGAAAGCGAAGCTCCCTACAGAATCATCCTTATGGGGACATTCGAATGGTGCGAGCATCTACGTCTCTTATAGCCACATCCATCTATCATTATCAGAGATTGCCTCCAGGATAGGGCTCGGCCTCAATGCAACCCCATCGAGTGCTGCAAACGGCGCGAGGCATATCGACAGCACTGCGGCCTGAGGTGGGCTTACGCATACCCCGACGTCCCCCGACGACGCGCGTGCCCCCCGTCTGTTTCTGCTGATGAGAACCCGGAGCGCCCCTGGCGTACGGCACGTCCCGCGTGACAGCCCTTGTCCACATCTCTTCGGGTCATTCAGAGATCGGCTTACCCCTGACGATGCACGATTATCTGATGGAGGGCGCAAGGCTTATTGGGCCACGTAGAAGTGATCCTGTGCCTTGCATCTGAATCTCGAGTCTTGTCTCGGGAAGCAAACGGTAGGGTACACGATGTTGATGTGTGGTAGGGCGATCGGTCAAATTACATCAACGCAGGTGCCTGCCTCCATGAGCTCGTCGGAGCATCGAATCCACCAGACCCGCGAACAATGCTTCGCTTACCCCTCGACATATCACTTGTCTTAAATCTTCATCGTTCTCAGGTGTATATATCCAACGTGACAGTCAAAATAGACACATAGAAACATGGGGCACCTAGAAACCTGTACCCTGGAGCAGCAAACTCAAGACATTGGATAAATCCTCGATGATGAGAATTGTCATGAGGAATCGAGTATACATGCTTGAAGCTATTCCCATATCGCAGTGTTACAATGCAAGGGCTACCGAGTGAGGTTTTTGCTCAGCATCCCGTGACCCAGGCAGACGTCATTTGAGGGGTGAGCGGCCAATTCTCGCCTGAGGCCACAATTCTCCGGCCGTGATAGGACTAGCGTATAGGTTAGTGCATCGACTGATCGAGGCTTGCAGGCTGTCTGAGGGTACATCGCAGGGGTTGAACTTGCTTTCTCTGTGAGTTTTTTGAGTCGCTCCTGCCAGTTTGATCGATGCACCTGAAGGTCTGGTTGTACAAAGTGGTATCGCTGGCATCCTCTGCAGTGTCATCCTGGCGTAAGACACAGTGAACCAGACTTCTGTCAATGCTGCAGTTCACGCTGTGTTAATGAGCCGCACTGAGTTCCATGCATATCCATTAATTCAAGCCCCCTGGATCAAAAGAAGCCGTCAGGCCAGATCCCCTAGGCATCAGACCACCCAGGGAGCGCGTGGCCTCCTGTAGTGGATCAAGTTACTCCTTTCCCCCCTACAGCCTCCCCGCAGAGGTACGTTCTCCGTCCTGCTGTCGAATGCGCCCAATGAAAGCCGCCACTGGTCCCCACTCTGTCCCGAAGACCTCGAACCTCCGATTTTAGCGTTTTGCACTGCTGCCAGCCTAGATCGCCTCCCACTGTCCTGCACCTACAGTTGCTGGTTGCCTTCCTTCACCACACGATTCACACGACAGCCTGCCCGCCGCGCAGTGCACCAGCAGCCGGCCAGCGAAATTCAGCAACTGCGCAAAAGGAAGAATACTACGGAAGCGGCCTCGACATTCAACAAATCGCATGTAGTCCACCGGATCATGTCGACTGAGGCCCCCAGTGCCCTGGCGTCAGCGCCCACCCAGGTCTCTCTTGCGCCAGAGGCAGCGCAGACCCAGACCGGTTGCACCAACGACGTCGGCAACACAGACGGCCACCCCCAGGACCGCGTTGCGAATGCTGAACACGATGCTCCCCCCGACCACATAGAATGCGCAAAGCCCACCTTCCTTCACTCGCCGCCTGATAGCAACAATGCGGCCAAGTCCGACGGCTCGGATTCCGAGCTCAGCGAACTTGACGATGACGCCGTGAACCCCGCCGACGAGCCGCCCAAGGAGGACGATATTGGCGAAGTCGAACCCGACCACTACTCGGGCACCGTCCCTGTGTTCCGGCCGACCATGCATCAGTTTAAGGACTTCAAGCGATTTGTCCGTCTTCTACCACCCGTGCCTGCCCTGTGAGCTTCGCAGCTGACCACATTACCTGTAGATGGAGAAGATAGACCGTTATGGAATGCAGTCCGGCATCGTCAAGATTATTCCGCCCGAGGAGTGGAAAAACTCTCTGCCCGAACTCGATGACCTCGTCAAGCAGGTCCGTGTGCGAGAACCGATCAAGCAAGATATCATGGGCTCCGGCGGCACCTTCCGACAGGTCAATATTCTCCACCAGCGATCCTACAACGTACCTCAGTGGCGCAAGCTGTGCGAGCAGAGCGAACACCAGCCGCCCGCCCGCAGGGGCGAGCGCCGCGCCAATGCAGACAAGCCGAGGCCTGCGACTCGAACCCGAGCTGCTGCATCGTCCGCGCCGAAACCTAGGGCAGCCCCTGCGAAGAAGCGCGGCGGCAAGCGCGGCGCCAAGAACAGCAGCAAACAGAAGAAGGATGCCGACGATGCCGAGACGGAAGATCGACCTATGACGCCCGTCTCCCCAAGAGGAGATGCTGAAGAGGGCACAATCAAGACGGAGGCTGTAGTAGACTCGGTCGAGACTGGGGATGCCGAGGAGGAGGAAGAAGAAGCCACTCCTACCGTCGGCAGGATGGGCCGTATGGGTGGCGCGAGGCCCTCCAAGGGCGCCACGCAGTCCGTCTCGGCGCGCCGGAAGTATAGCAAACGAGAGGGTTCTGCCAAGATTGACGAGGAAGCCTTCAAGGATTTCGACTACCGCATGGACGTGTCCGACTACACGCCAGAGAGATGCGAGGAGCTGGAGAGGGCATACTGGAAGACTCTGACCTACGCGCCCCCTCTATACGGTGCTGATCTGATGGGTACGCTATTCGACGAATCCACCGACACCTGGAACCTCAACAAACTCCCCAACCTGCTCGACGTCCTGGGCAGCAAGGTCCCGGGAGTTAACACAGCGTATCTCTATCTCGGCATGTGGAAGGCCACTTTTGCCTGGCATCTCGAGGATGTCGACCTATACAGCATCAACTATTTGCACTTTGGCGCGCCGAAGCAGTGGTACAGCATCTCGCAGGCCGACGCCAAGCGATTTGAGGCAGCCATGAAGAACATTTGGCCGACGGACGCCAAGGCCTGCGATCAGTTCCTCCGCCATAAGGGCTACCTCATCTCACCACAGCAGCTGAAGCAGAACTACAACATTACCGTCAACAAGTGCGTCTCCTATCCTGGAGAGTTCGTCGTCACATATCCATACGGCTACCATTCGGGCTACAACCTCGGCTACAACTGCGCGGAGGCTGTCAACTTTGCTCTTGACTCCTGGCTTCCCATGGGCAAGATCGCCAAGCGGTGCCAGTGTCCCCAGGCGCAAGACAGTGTGTGGATCGACGTATACGACATTGAACGCAAGCTGCGAGGCGAGGAGCTGGAGTACGAAGAGTACACTGATGATGATGGCGATGAAGAAGAGGATGAGGACATGGAGGAGCCTGAATCCACCAATGCACCAGGATCTCGCGCTGTCAAGATCAAGGCTCCGTCCCGCAAGCGCAAGCGTGACGCGAAGGACAAGGATGAGAAGAAGGTGAAGAAAATCAGGCTCCGAATTAAGGCACGCGCCGAGCCGCCTTGCTGTCTTTGTCCCAACGACATTGCCTCCGCCGAGCTCATTCCTACCAACGACGGACGCAAGGCGCACCGCATGTGCGCCCACTATCTTCCCGAGACCTACATCGAAACCATTGACGACAAAGAGGTTGTCTGCAATGTCGCTAATGTCGCCAAGGACAGACTTGATCTCAAGTGCCTCTTCTGTCGATCCAAGCGCGGAGCCTGCTTCCAGTGTTCTCAAAAGAAGTGCGCGCGCGCGTACCATGCTACTTGCGCTGCCGCAGCCGGTGTGTTTGTGGAGGAGGCCGAAGTCTCCGTCTGGGGTGAAGACGGCACAGAATACAAGGAGCAAGCCTTCGAGTTCAGCTGTCGTTTCCATCGCACCAAGAGAGACAAGAAGGTGGACGGCGACTCCTTGGATGACGACGAGCGCATCCTCAATGCAGCCAAGGCTGTCAAGGAAGGCGAAATTTGCCAGCTGCAGTACTTCAAGGGGGAGATTTTCGCTGGCGTGGTTGTCGAAAATCGCAAAGATGAGCGTATGCTGTTGGTGGATATTCTTCCCAATGGTGCCCGCGTCGAGGTTGAGTGGAAGTGGCTCCTTGTGGCTGATCCCTCCGACTACCATCTTCCAAAGGCCTCTGCCAAAGCTATCCCGATGCCCACTTCGCAAAAGGCCAAGCAAGAGCTCAACGCCAAACGCGCCGTTGACGAGGTGCCAAGGAAAGATGATACCTTTGTGGACGGCGGCTTCACCTGGGCTGAATTTCACACTTGCGAGCCTTTTCACAACAAGGATCAGGTTAAAGCTGACCTCAACAAAGATATGCAGCTGTGGTACTACCTTGGCAAGACGTCGACCGAGGCCAAGGCGCAGTATACGGAGAGCCCTACGCTGCAGCGACACAACCCGCGCAGCAACTACCTTGACACACTGCCAAAGCCCGCGAAGCCTCCCAAGCCTGTATCGGTCACGCAGCGTCGGCCGTCGCAAGTGCCTCAACGACCTTCAATTCCTGGTCCCCCCCGCCCGTCGCCGCTTTCGACTTCCTCGGTGCCGGTACCCGTGCAGGGCTCGGCGCAAGGTCCGGCGCAAGGCCCGATGTCAATGCCCTCTCTGCCTAATGCAGTCGCCGTTGAGAAGCCATACGTGTACAAGCCGCGCAAGCCCATCGACGGTGTTTGGTTCAAGACGCAACAGTTCACAACTCAACAGTTTGCTCCTAAAATGAGTAACTCGCCGTCTCCTGCGCCCAACGGCCACCAGTCGGGCTATGGCTTTGACTCTCGGTTCGCTGGCCAACAGCACGCTCAGACAAGCCAGTATTCACAGCATCGCTTCATTCCCTCTTATGCTCCTGCCTATAACCCGCAGACCGCCGCCTATGGTGCGCAACGAAATGCACCACCGAACTATGGACAACCGCAGCAGCAGCAGCAGCAGCAACGAACCTGGTCGACGCCTTCTTCAATGAACCAGCCATCACCGTATCAATCTGGCCAACACACTAGCCAGCAACGCAGTCAGGAGGGCAAACAGGGCACATCATACACAGACAGCAACCGAACGCTCCAGGTGCACCAGTATCAGCCCGTGATTCAGCAGTCAAGCACTCCGTCACAGCCAGCGCATGTCTCTCCGGCGCAATATGCAGCCACGCAACAAATTGCGATCAACTCGCAGGAACAATCGCAACAAAAAAGTCAGCCTTTTAACCAAGCCCAGCAGCAGGTGCAGGTACAGCATCTGCAGCAGTCGGGAGCCAGCTTCACAGCTGGCCAGGCTCAAACGTGAGTTCACCCTTCCAGATACCCCCTTTTCCTAGTCCACTCCAACAGAGCCAGTCATACTGCAGAAGGTATTCGTGTTCTAGCAGCTCACAAACTTGCCAGGGAACCCGGTCGATACCACACTCCGTACAATCCAACTCAGGACAGTGGTCTTGCCACAGTGCAACAGCCGAGCCGGCCACCTTCCAATCCATCTGATCACAACGGCCGTTCCAACACCACTGTGCCTGCCGTAGCGACGAACAACAACCCATTTTCTTCACCCAACAATCCAGCTCTTCGTGCCCAATCGCAAAACGTTCAGTATCCCGTCTCTTCTGGTCCAGCAGCAGGGCCCTCTCAGGCGTACGCCCCGCACGGAGCTGCCCAGTCTCATCCTCAACCATCTATTCTTCAACATTACCACCAGCAATACCTCGCATTAGGACCCTCGCAACTTGGAGAAAATGCGCAGCAGAGTCATCTGAACAGGCCTGGCGTCGTTGGTCACAACAGTGCGAGCAAAGCTGTCCAACCACAGACACAATTCTTGCACGCGCATGCATCAAGCACTGGCTTACCCTCGAACCAGACAAACCAAATTACCACAAGCGCTGCAGCCCCCTTGGCAAACCCTCCCTCGACGGGCACACACTCAGCGACGCCTCGGCCGGAGCTGAGCTCAACGTCAGCTCCGGTGGGGGTGCCGCCTCACGTAACCGGCTTCGCTTCGTCGACGACACCGGCGCCGATGCCAAGCCCGGCCGCTGTATATAACGGCACCGGAGCTTCCTCTGAAATTACGCAATACAGTCAACAGGCTGCCTTGAATCCCACTCCCCAGCCTTCCTCCAATCAAGAATCTGCATCTGAGATGAAGCCTTCGAAGCCACAAGCACCGAAGGTGCAGTATAAGGTAGTCAATTCTTCGACCCCTGGCTCCCATGTTCTGTCTCTTTCGTGACTAACCACCGATCAGATTCCCGAGAAGGTGACTCCTGTGCCGCTGCCAGCCATGTATCGAGCCGCGCGCGGCAAGACGGCTCCGGCACCAACACCGGCACCAGGACCGACAAAGGCAGCGCCCCAGGCCCAGCCTCAGACACCAGAGGTCGCCAGGACACCTACAAGTGCATTGCCTTCTCCTACGCCCAGTGGTGCTGTGGGTTCCATCAACTCTGCACAATCGCCAAATGCACAGAGCAAGACGGCTCGAATTTCGGAGACGCCTGTACCTCTTCCTCATCAGAAAGCAGCCACCTCGACACCACGAACGAAAGCCAGCGGAGCAATGTTCGGCCACGCTTCTACCACTTCACCCACCAAGGTCATGGTTTCGACTCCCGAATCGACCCCCGCGCAGCCTTTGGTACCATCGCAAACTAGCACGAGCACCGATTCGGTATCTGTTGCGGCTCAACAAGCCTCGGTAGCCCATACACAGGATGCTGCTCCGTCCGGGCCACCCTCTCAACCGTCGCAGGTATCCAACAGAGCTGCCGTCGAGACTCCGGTGCCTTTGCCGAGACTTCCTGGCAAGGTGACGCCGGTGCCGCTGCCTCCCCAGGCTTTGCAGGTTCTCTCAGCCGGCCATCCTGTGTCGAAGCCCTCGGGACACACAGGCGAGGCAATCTCGGAAACGCCGATACTGCCGCCGATCAGGGCGCCCATGGCAACAACGCAAACCTCGCCAGAGGTTGACGATATGGACAGGGTGGGTTTTCCGGAGGTGCCCCACGATTCGATGGCGTTGGTGGAGCAGATGATGCAAAACCTTCGACGTGCGAGCATCAGACATACTCACACGAACTAGGGACTGGGGGTGCACTTAGCAGGCGTGCCGATGTAGGCTGGACGAAAGTCGAAATCCATGGAGTTGGAGGCTTTGGCTGGGCCGTCGGCAAGCAGAGTGACGGTACGATATGAGGCATGCGCGTGCGCGATGAGAACGAAGGAACGAAGTCACGGATCAGGGTTTCCATTTTCTTTTTCTTTCAGTCGTCTGGCGTTCAGGGTCTGCGGTTGCTTGGTGGATCACCAGCACGAGGGCGGCACCATCATGGAATGGGTTTTGCTTCCATCTCACTTGCTGCATTTGGGGTTCACATGATGAAGGAAGGGAAACGAGCGATTCGGCCCAGGGCGCGCAAACGGGACGAGGGCCACGAGTCGAACGACGGCATTGGTTGGGCTGCCGGTGCACCAAGCTGTACATTTTTACGCTGTCTTGCTAGGTTCATCCAAAACACAAGCAAATCGTTGATCCCATCTTGATGCGGGCGTCTGACCGAGCAGCGAGCGAGGTCTTTCTTTGGACGACGTTTGCTGCACGGTACCGTGTGCCACGTGCTGCAAATGAATCAACTTGGGTTCAGGAGCATGCAACCGCCTCGTTGGACATGCAAGCACCTCGTTACACATGCAACCACCTCGTTGAACATGCAACCATCTCGTTGCGTCACTGACATGGCATTGACCCGGCTGGGGAACCGAAATCCAGGCCCCAAGATGCCAGGGGGCGAGGGTGTGTGTGGGTTGGCCGCAGCCGGGAGGAACAACAAGCGATATCGTGGGGCGAAGCATGAGGGGAAGTGAGGGGAAGACACGAGGAGGGCGGCGGGGGAAAAGAAGGAGACAGAGACAAGAACCGAGATGCGTACCACGGATGAACCCCTCGCGGGTCAAGTCGATCATGGCACGTTTTGGCCTTAGGTTTCTTCTGTCTGTCTTGCGCTTCTCGTCGCTGCTGTCATCAGGGTTGTCAACGACACACCCTAGTGGAGCGTTACTACCATTGTGGAGCGGGAGGAGAAGACAGACGGGGCACATGGGACGAAGACGAGGACAACGGGGGGGCTCACGTCGGTTAAGCACCGTTCAGGCACCCGGGACCCGGGGCAGGGCCAATGGGAGGGTGGCGTTGCCGGTGGTGGAGCTGGGGGACGCGAACCGGCGCGGCGGACCGCGGTCAGGGGTCCGGGATGGCCGCCGGGAGGACTAACCCTGTCGGAACCGCGGACCGCGTCGCTCCGCCCTCCATCGCCCTGGCCATGTCCCTGAACCCCCCCTCTCACATCTCTCCAGCCCTCCAACCCTCCAACCCTCCATGCCTCCATGCCTTCGTCCCTCCATCCCTCCCACCTCTTCTTCGTCTAACCCCCCCCCTGGTCAACTCCATGTGCCATGATGACCGCCCGACGTGGTGATGCCGCTGGGGCGGGCCCATGGGGCGGACGGGTCAACGGGGCCTGGGTGTCGGCTGTGATTTTCTGGGGGGGCGGGCAGCCTTCTTCCGTGCTCTAGCTCATGAGCCTGGAGATGACGCCGTGGTCCATTGGTCAATTGACACTCTGGGGGATGCAGTGTTGGAGAGACGGGGTGGCGAGGAGGAAAAAGGCATGGCGACGCATGGAATAAATAGTTGAACATGTTGGTCTGCCCTCCTTTTTCTGGGGAAACCGAGGAGGATCGTCACGTCTGGTTTCTCGAGACGCGCTTCGCTTTGGCCCCCCCCCCCTCCCACCCCCTTGTTAGCATCTGCCTGTCCGATCCTTTTGCTACCTCTTCACCATGCGTTTCGACATTCTCTCCGTCGGTCTGCTGGCCACGGGCGCCATGGCGCGCTGTGTGCCCAAGGGGTTCGTCACGACCAAGGGCACCAAGTTCAGGCTGGACGGCAAGGACTTTCCCTTTGCCGGCAGCAATGCGTACTACTTCCCCTTTGACAATGTCAGTCCCCCCCCCACGTGTGGTCGTGAAGCCAGCGGAACAGCTGCAGGAACGAGAGAATCATCATCATGAAAACTGACACGCTGCTGCGCTAGAACCAAGCTGATGTCGAGGCTGGTCTGACCGCCGCCAAGGACGCCGGTCTCAAGGTGTTCCGCACCTGGGGCTTCAACGACAAGAACGCGACCTCGGATTTCAAGAACGGCATGCCCAAGTACGGTGGCGAGGGCGCCGGCGCCACCGAGGTGATTCTGCAGAAGTGGTACGACAACGGCACCTCCGTCATCAACCTCGAGCCCTTTGACAAGGTCGTCGACGCCGCGACCAAGGTTGGCATCAAGCTGCTCGTCGCCTTCACCAATAACTGGGCCGACTACGGTGGCATGGACGTGTACACCGTCAACCTCGGCGGCAAGTACCACGACGACGTATGTTCCTCTTCTCCCCGGCCCTCATCCCTCATGGTTGGGCTTGGGACGCCCCCCCCCCCCCCCCCCGGCCCCACAATCCCTTGACTCGCGCTAACAGGCACCAGTTCTACCGCGTCCCCGAGATCAAGGACGCCTACAAGCGCTACGTCAAGGCCTTTGTCGAGCGCTACAAGGACTCGCCCACCATCTTCGCCTGGGAGCTCATGAACGAGCCCCGCTGCGGCGCCGACGGCGTCCGCAACCTCCCCCGCAGCCCCGCCGGCTGCAACCCGGCCGTCATGTCCGCCTGGACCGACGAGATGTCGACCTTTGTCCGCAGCATCGACCCCTACCACCTCATCACCTGGGGCGGCGAGGGCGCCTTCAACCGCGAGTCCGACGACTGGGCCTACAACGGCGCCGACGGCTCCGACTTTGACCACGAGATGACCCTCAAGAACATTGACTTTGGCACCTTCCACCTCTACCCCGACTGGTGGAGCAAGACGGTCGAGTGGTCGAACCAGTGGATCGTCGACCACGGCGCCGTCGGCCGCGACGTCGGCAAGCCCGTCGTCTTTGAGGAGTACGGCTGGCTCCAGCCCGACAAGCGCCTCGAGTACCTCGGCCAGGTCCGCAACGAGACGAGGCTCGAGGTCATCAGCCACTGGCAGGAGCTGTCCATCGAGGGCGGCATGCCCGACATGTACTGGCAGTACGGCTACTGCGGCTACTCGTACGGCTGCAACCACAACGACGGCTTCACCATTTACCTCAACGACACCGAGGCCGACGTCCTGATCTACCAGCACGCGGCCAAGGTCAACGGCGAGAACTAGAGTGGAGGACTGTATATATGACCCGCGTCTCGGGCGTAGCCCTGGAGCTCGTGTCGCTAGCGTAGCATGTATATATAATGACCATCATGTTCAAGACGATTCTTTCGTGCGATTTGATCCCGTCAGTTTTTCCTGAGACACACTGCGCGTCTGCGCGTAGCAACATTTCAATGACGTGGGGAAGTTATGCCATACTGGGTGTCGGGCAGAGCGCACGTGGCTATGACCTGTCGTCTATTTTTCATGTAGCCGCCATACTACGGGGCAAAGGACAACATCAGTACGGGCATGGCGAGATGGCGCAGGACAGAAAGATTGTTCAAAAACACAACCGTATTCATCAACTCCGAAGCGCGTTTCCATCATCTCGACAAACCCATGACCTTGTTTCCGTACTGCAACAAATCCTTCTCCGCCTGCGTCGCAGATGCCGCCGCATCAAACGCCGCAAAGCCCGCAGCTTTCCGCGCCGCACTGTCCGCCATGGAGTGGAAGTCCTGCACACCCGGCCTGCCCCTGTGCTCGCTCTCGCCGAGACCGCCTGGGAAATCCGGCGGTGGAATCCCAGCTTCGAACGCATCGCGCTGCCGCCTCACGTAGTCAAGGCTTGGCCTCGTGGTCGGACACGCAGGGATGTAGAGCACGCTCGAATCCCCGGTGCCCTGGTGAACCTTGTCGACGGCGTGGATAGTGTCGCAGTGCCATGCGACGTAATCGCCCGGCTTGATGCGGGGGACGTGGACCATGGTGAAGGGGAGGTTCAGATGGGGGTGCCAGCCGTGGTTGAGCTCTTGGCCGCTACCGGGCCAAGCCCCTTGGAATGTCGACGTGACTGAATCTTCCAACTTCCAATTGCTCGGATCCAGAAACGCAGGCTGGTACACCTGCTCGCCCTCGCCAGTGGCAGAGTTATGGGCGGGAAGTGCCTTGGGTGTGAAGAACGGCCGGAGGAGGTAGTATGCGGTGGCAAGGTTGAACAGGGGGTTCACAAGTAGAGTTCCCTCCTTAGGGCCTGTGTGTGACATGCTGAGCCAGCCTCTGCGACAAAGGTTAGCAACTGACTGTGAATGGTCGATGATTTGAGAGTCCTACTGGAACATTCGGAACATGGAGCATGCACCGGCGCCATTGTACAGGTCGGAGACAGCATCAAGCCGCGTGCTTGTCTCCCAGGGGTCGAATTCCTCCCAGGAGCCTTCAAAGACCTTGTCGTAGACGTGACCCTTGCCGTAGCCATCATCTTCCCATCGCTCCACGCTGCCGCCGTCGACATGGGGGCCCAATGCAAAGCCAGCGTCGCCAGGCTGACGGATCCTGAGACGGTCGGCATACGTTAGGGGTTGGTCGGACGAGAACTCTGCGTTAGCATCTTTCGAGTGCCAGTACGACATCAGGAACTTCTGCGTCTTGAGCATGTTGGCATGAGAGCGTGCTGCTAGTTGAGACTTGGACCAATACAGCTCAAAGACCTGGGGGTCATGAGGAGGGAAGGCTGAAGGTTGTTAGCCCATGACTGAGACGTTTCGTTCCTCGTCGTGCTCACCTTTCGTGGAAGGGTTCGCGGCAATGTACTTTTCTACTTCGGTCTTATATGAACGGGCCTCTTCTTCTGGTACGACCTGGCGCACGACGGCAAGACCTCGTTTTCGGAACGCCTCGTTAAAGGAAGGTGAAGGGTTTGCCAAGTCAGAGAATGGAATCTCCGGCACGATAGTGTTCCTATTAGCCTTGATCTCTTCCGTCTCAACCCTGAGACGCTCCAGGAGACGATTCCAGCTCGCATGAAGGGCGTTCCTGCTTGGACTGCGACTGAGGAGTGCCCCCTTGACGTCGGC